GCAAGGATGGAGAGGTAGGGCAGGAAGCAGAGGAAAAGAGCACCAAAGCTTTCATGAGAACTCTGAGCAGTCCAGTGGGAAAATCACTGGGCTGAATCAAGAGGTCTTGTTCTCGGCTTCTTCCCCGCATTTGCTCTGGCATCGAAAGAAAAAGGAATTTTTACTTGTGAAAAATTCTCACCTTTGTGAGAATTCTTCCTTCTTCCTTCCTCTCTGTCTCTGTCTCTCTGTCTCTTTCTGTCTCTGTCTCTGCCTCTGTCTCTCTGTCTCTCTGTCTCTCTGTCTCTCTGTCTCTCTCTCTCTGTCTCTGTGTGTGTGTGTGTGTGTGTGTGTGTGTGTGTGTGTGTGTGTATGTGTGTGTGTTTCTTTATATATGGCCCAGGATAATCTTGAACTTCAGATCCTCCTGCCTTTACCTCCTGAGTGCAGGGCTTACAGACATGGATCACTATACCTGGTATAATGTTCTGCTGGAGATCAAATCCAGGGCTTCCTGAATGCTAGGCAATAACTCTAGGGACTGAGTTACATCCCCAGTCCTAACTTCAGTTTCTTCATGACTGAAATAAGCACAACCAGGAGACTGCTGCACGGGAAGGAAGTTAGAGAAAAGGACTGACATCAACATGGGAAGCCTGATGATAGAAATGGCCAAGATTTAGATACTGGGAAATGAATGGACAAAATTATGATTTATAAGCAAGGCAAGACAGAACAGAATGGTGCAAGAATTAACCACACTACTCAGAATGGAAGAGAATTCAAAAGTCATGGATTATTTATTTCTGGAATTTTCTAATTGATATTTGTTGACCATGTGTTGTTAAGACAGCATAAAATGAAGCCATTGATAAGGGGTACTGTGTTATAATCCCAGGGATGAGACAATTCATCTATGCCAGAGCATAAATATTTTTTTATTTATTATTCTCACCTTCAATACATTCTATCCACAGTTTCCCCTCCCTCCACTTCTCCCAGTCTCCCCAACCTCTGCTCTTCCCTAGATCCACTCCTCTTCCATTTCTCTTCAGAAAAGAGCAGGCCTCCCAGGGATATCAACCAAACACAACATGACAAGTTACAATAAGACTAGGCACAAACCCTCATATCAAGGTTGGAGAGGCAAATCAATGAGAGGAAAAGGGTCTGAAGAGCAGACAAAAGAGTCAGAGACACGCCTGCTCCCACTGTTATGAGTTCAACAAGAACGTCAAGCTACATAACCATAACATATATGCAGAGGACCTAGCACAAACCCATGCAGTCTCCATGACTATCACAGAGCATAAATATTAAAGGCCATCTTGGAATTCTGCCTACCAAAGATATATGCTAGAATACTGCATGGAACCCGGAGCTGTTCTAGATATTTTCAGGTATTTCTCCCAAGTTCCGGCATGCCCCTGATGTCTACCAACGAGTTATGAGTTGTTATTTAAAAGCATGGATTCCAGGGTTTGCTTCTCCTGGCAATGTTTCACTATAGCCACGCTTTCACGCATAATTTTAGTCAAGATTTTTACAGATCTTTCCAATTTACTTCACTGTTATGGGATATTTGATCACATTGTGTGAAGATGTGATGCTGTTTTACCTCGCCTGCCTAAGGCACCTCCTGATAGTTTAATAAAGAGCTGAGCAGCCAATAGCTAGGCAGGAGAGGATAGGTAGGACTTCCAGACAGAGAAAGGAACTCTGGGAGGAATCTGAGGCATGGAGGATTCGCCAATGAGGTGCAGAGGAAGTCAGACGTACTGTACTGAGGAGAGGTAATGAGCCATATGGCAGAGTGTAGATAATATAAACAGGTTAATTTAAGTTTTAAGAGCTAGTTGGGAACAAGCCTAAGCTAAGGCCAATCTTTCATAGTTAATAAAGTCTTTGTGTCTTTATTCAGGAGCTGGCAGTTCAAAGAAAGATCCATTCCATTTGGTGTCCAATGTGGGAACACATACGTAGAGCCTTTGAGCAATTGGCATGCTACTCAGTGGGAGACTAGGTAGAAACACCTACTGCAGCTCAGCCCAGCAACTTCCCAAAGCTGGAGCAGGTAAACTTGGCTCCAGGCTCACTGACCCAGAGAGGCAGAGCCAGTTGCCAGTGTCATGTGCTAAGCAGAGACATAGAAAACGTCTGTAGATGCACAGAAGGCTTTGCAACATTTTTGCAACATTTTCCCAAAGCCTCAAAGCCAGGTCCAGCCTGAGAAAAACCTCTGAACTGGTAGGCTATGCTTGACAATGTGCTTATGTGCTGAAGAAAGAAAATGGGTATAGATAGTCATAGAAAAAAAAATTAAAAATAGTAAAGTAAAAGTCTTTAGAGAGAGAGAGTAATGTAATATAAAAAGAATAAGTCAGGTAATGTAGTGGATATCTGTTCTACCTATGACCTTGAAGTACAGCCCCTAGAGATGTAGCTAGTAACTGTTCTACCTGTATCCTTGAAGTACCAGTCAATGGGGTGTGGCCTCGGGCTACCCTTAAGACCGGAGAGGCACACAGAGTGCTTTCTTCTCTCCCTTGTGGGCTTGGATGGTGTGGACTGACTGATACGGGTGGCAGGACAGCGTGGGTCAGTACCTCAACCTTCCAGGATCCTCTGAAGATTCTCCTATTCTGTTTAGTGAGTTTTCTTTCCTAATAAATTCCTTTTACCCTTTAAGCAGACTCCCATGGATTTCGTATACCTGGTGCCCACATGTGGGTGGGCTGTCCCCACGACCATTATCTAGGTGGGCTAGCTTATACCCTCACCTGCTATCGGCAGCTCACATCCCATCCACCGATGCCAGAAATTCCTGCTCCATCAGACACGCCTTGGCCCCTTCCAACATGTCCCTGTGTTCCGCAGTCCAGAGCTAGCTGCATGTGGCTGAGCCCTCCCACTGGAGTGGCACTAGACCCATACTGGGGCCTCGGAAGATTTGCACTCCCTACTTGGAGCTACTCGGTTACTCCTTTCTGCATGAGTGCTGAGACAGTGCACAGCACCAGAACCTGCTGCTGCAAGTACCTTTCTCAGCTAAGTCATCTTGCCAGCCTTATTTTTAATTTTTTCATTGTACTGAAGTGGTGGAGATTGAACCCAGGGCCTCATGAATGCTAGGCAGGTGCTCTACCACGCAACCACTTGCCCAGCTCAGTCTGTAGAGCATGAGAATCTTAATTGTGGGTTCCTGCCCCACCTTGGGTGCCAGGTATAACGAGAAATTTACAGGAGTCTGCTTAAAGGGTAAAAGGAATTTATTAGGAAAGGAAACTCACTGAACAGAATAGGAGACTCTTCGAAGGGTCCTGAAAGGTTGAGGTACTGACCCATGCTGTCCTGCTGCCCGAGTCAGTCCACATCATCCAAGCCCACAAGGGAGAGAAGAGAGAGCACTCTACATGCCTCTCTCTCCAGTCTTAAGGGTAGCTCTGAGGCCACGCCCCAGGGGCTGGTACCTCAAGGTTATAGGCAGAACAGTTACCTGCTACATCTCTAGGGGCTGTACTTCAAGGTCATAGGCAGAACAGATATCAACTACAAGGTAAGGATGGGAAATATTACAACACAGGACATGTGTAACACTAAACCATCTACTTCTGTCAATTGCTGCTCTTCATCTTCCTGTGGTCTCCTGAAACAGCTCACAAACATTACAGATTTGCTGATTCACTGATGAACATAAAACCAGAGAAAAGAAAATGTCTATTTGCCCCCAAAATCATATCCATCACTCGTTTAAAATGTTTATTGCTTGATAATAAACAAGTGTATAGCATCTTATGGTAGTGTAAAAGCTATCCAATACGAATATTGCTTCTTGGTGAGGACCAGTTTGATTTTTTCCATGGCCTATGACTCACATATATGCTATCTTGAGCAATAGGATCTATGTTGTGGGATAATCTTTTTGTATACTGTGAAGATGTGTCATTCTGATTGGTTTAATAAAAAGCTGAATGGGCAATAAGCTAGGAAGGATTTCCAGGCACATAAGACACTGGGAAGAAGAAGGGGGAAATCACCAGCCAGATGGAGAGGAGCAGCATGGACAGTACAAAGGTAATAAAGCCATGAGACAGAAAGGAGATTGATAAAAATGAATTAATTTAAGTTGTAAGAGCTAGTTAGTAACAAGCCTAAGCTATCAACTGAGCTTTATAACCAATAATAAATCTCTGTTTCATTATTGAGGAGCTGGCAGTCTCGACAAAAAATGTCCAACTACAGCTCTATACCACTATTGGGCACATACTCAAAGAAATCTACCCCTTTCTGGATCCATAACTCTTTATGTTTCATTCTTGAACATAGGGTGACCTTTCTGAGGCAACTCTTGTTTAGCACCACAACCTGCTCACCCAGTCAACACATAGTTCTGTATCTCTAACCATCATTTCTATTAGCATGAACATATGCTGAACCCTTATCATCTTAAGAAGAAAGCCTCCCTGTGTCCATGTCTGCTTTTTGGCTTTCATTTCTTTATTATCTCAATGAACAATATCCCATTTTTCCAGGTGACCTGATGGAAACCCCTGGAATCATCTTTGTATTGACTCTTCATCCTTTACAGGAATCTCATCAGCGTACTCAGGAAGCACTAACTCAAATACTAGCCACAACTGACCACATGTTCTTCCTCATCATCACTGCTCCAGAACAAGGACTCCCTACCTTCAGCAACATCCAAGTCCTTGCCAGGTATTACAAGGTCCTTAACTATCTAAATCAAGTCTCTCCCGCAGCCACACACCAGCCTTACTCATTTTCCTGAAACACGCCAGCCAAGCTTCTGCTTCCTAACTTTATGTTACTACCGTCTGAAGGAAAGGGCTGACTTCAGGCAGACAGAGTCCTCCTCCTCTTCATTCAGATCACATGTCAATTTCATCTCCTCAAAGCCTACCTGGAACCCTTACCATATTGACCTTCTACATTTGTCTGTGTATGTGTGGTTGTGTGTGTGTGTGTGTGTGTGTGTGTGTGTGTGTGTGTGTGTGTGTATTAAAAATAGGTAATTCCTCACAAATCTGTATGTCATTCTTGTGCAGGGGCCTTGTTACTCTTCTCCATATCATTCCAAATTCAGTATAAGCGCTGCCAAAGCAAGTACCTGCAGCGTATGTCTATATGTATACTTACTACTATGTTTTGCTACTATCACATATCTTTTACTTATCTATTGCTTGTTTTGTTATATATTTATTTCCTGATTTGTTGTCTTCACCTCCCTATAATGGAGACTCCCTCAGGGACAGGGTATTTTATTTATCTTGGCCACTGCTCTATTGTTTGTGTTTTTACATAGTGAATCCTCAAGCAGCACTGTACCTTTATTTAGGGTTCTTATATAATACTAATATGTGTGTTTTTTAATATACCATGTAGCATTAATGGGCAGTAAATATCCCAATATACTAGCAAAGCAAACAATGTAGTTGTCTCCCATTCCTCACAGAGTTTCCATTTAACTCCGTCCATGGGTGTTTACCACATGGACACAGTGCATACATGGGGCAGGTCATAAAAGGCCACACAAGATTCCTAAAGTTCCTGTCCTTGCAAAGTGCAAGCACTGGTAATATAGAAAGATGAGACAAATAGGGAGAGTACAGGGAGTGTTCTATATCATGGGAATGTGTGCTGGAACTTTGAAATGCAGATGGCTTGTCTCTGAAAGAAAATACTGCTCCAGCATTAGCTGTCAACTCCCTGGATGTGATGGTGCCTCCCTGTAATGTTAGCACTCAAAAGGCTGAGGCAGATGACTGCCATGCAGTGGAGGCCACCCTCACTGTGCAGCCCATTCCACACCAGCCTGGGCTACAGTGGAAGGCTCTGACACTCCCTAAGAAAGTCAGAGAGAAAAAGGAACTGTTTACTAATTCTAGATCTGAAGGAAAAAGAAAAGCTAAGGAGTTGAGATTAGAATGTTGTTCTTTCCCCATTTGTACGCAGGCAGTGGAAAAATTAAAATAAATGGTTACCAATGCCTCAATAGTGGCTGCCCAGAAAAGTATATGTATTTATCCTAATCCTTGAAAACTCATTTTTCATTTCAGATTATATATATTCAGATACTTGGGGTTCTTTAAAGGTCAAAAAAATATTTACACATGTACTAACTAGGAAGCTTTTTGAGAATTTGTATCAGATTATGATGTATGGTACCAAATCCATCTAATCCAGTAAACAGTTACTAAGAAAATACCATATACATAAAGGTAAGCAGATCAGAACCTCTGTTGTCCATACAAGGATGTGGGATTCTGTGAAGAATACAAAATATAAAGGCAAATAATTAAAATACAAATAGTAGACGAAAAAATATATTTAAGGAATGATTCAAAAGGTTATGAAAGTGAAGTAGGGCATGCAGATTATTGGCTGGCTAACTGAGTTGGCCACATAGGCAGCTGGAAAGCAACCTAATTACTAAGGTCCTTGAGAACTTAAAAGAAAATTTCAGATCCCTGGAAATCACTGGAGATACAAAGCAAAAAGCTGAAAGAGGACAGAATGTTTAAAAAATAAAAGGTGAGTTATGGAAGGGAAACTCAAGCAGCTTTGCCTCTGCTCAGCCGAGACCGAAACTGGAACTTACTAATGAAGAGCAAGAAGAAATTTGTGGTCTTGTTTGTGTTTGAAGACAAAATGAACAGTAGATTATGAGTCTTTACTCATGACCGTCAAAGATAAAGTCACAAGTTCCATGTGCAATCTTGTTGGAGAACCCAGATGACAGCACATTTGCTTTTTTGTGTTCTCCAACAACAGATTTGAACAATAATTCAAAAACAAATTTGACTAATGCACTATGGGCTAGAACATTCTAGAGACAGTTTCTCTATTGTCTTCTCGATCCTGTAGTCATGTGAAAATTAAACGCCTACCCATATTTAGTAAAATGAAACTTTCATCACAAGTGTACCTAATTCCTGGAATTTTTTTTTGCGACAAAATGTTCTTCGTTCCCAGCATGTTATATGAAAATTGTAATCAGATCTCAGGCTGATTCCTTATAACATAGTGCCATCTAGAGATTAAAGCTGATGTTGCTGCAAGCTGCATTAACTTGAATCAGTTTCTAAATTGTAACATTGCATTTTATTGGGAATATGTTTAATAGGGCATTTTTTAAGTGTCCATTACAGTCTATTTTTATGAATGCATTTAAAATAAATTAATGACTGCATAGGTGAATGCAATAATGCTTTGTCTAAGTGTTTCACAATATACTATGACATCAAAAGAAGTTATATTTCAGTATAGGCACACCAATTTAAGTTTTGTAAGGAGTCATAGTCAAACCTCTACAAAGAAGCAAGACAGTTTTCTTCATATATATAAAATGTTTGTAAAGTAGCTATGAGTGAGGCCCTGTATTAACCGTATATATCAGTCCCCTGAGTCCTTTATCACAACGACACACTAACATGGCAGCTCAAAATAACAGAAACGTCCTCTCACACAGTTCTGAACACAGAAGTCTAAAGTCACGGCACCCAAAGGCCAAATGCTCTCTAGAGGCTCTAGAGCAGACACTTCCTCCTCACCTCTCACAGTTCCTGGTGACTAGGCAGTCTTCCTCTTCTTTGGCGTTTGACCATATCTTTGCTTATGTCTACTTATCTCCTTCTGCCTGTGACTCAGTGTGACTGCATGGCTCCAATCTGTGCTTTTGCCTCTGTGCTCTGGGGTATTTCCCCCTCTTTTTGGATTTAGGCGCTTCCTGGAGAATCTAAGATGACGTCTTCACTTGAAGACCTTGACTACATCTGTGAAGTCTCTTTTTGCCAAGTAAGGTAACATTCTTTAGTTCCAGGAACTTAGTGTCGACTTGTCTTTAAGATGGTTACCACTCAACACACCACATTCTGGTTCTTTTAAAGGAAAACTAAAGTTTTCAGTTCATTTAACTTCATCACACAATTGAAAGGAAAGTTTATGGTCATAGATGACTTGGAACAATTGATATTTGGAGCCAGAAAAGTACGTATTGTGCTGGCCATCTCATGTGTTTAGAGAGCAGCCTCCCTGACCTCTCCCCAGGGAATGCCATCAGCAGCCTTCTCTTTATGACTACTAAAAATGTCTTATAATGACACTCTAGTCATTGACGTTGCAATCAGCTGAGTGAGGCAGTGAGGGTAGAGTTCTAGAGTGGAGTTGGATTGGAGATGATACAACACAGGATGTGAATGTCCTTGTGCTGCATGTGGAAAAAATGTTGATATATCTGTGTATTAAAATGGGCTGGTAAAGAAGGATAGCATGGAGGAAATGCTAGGGAAGCCAGAAACACCAGCAAGTCAGACCATCTAAGAAACAGTCTTGTGAAGTGATGAGTTCAGGTGTCAAGGTGATGATGATGACGATGGGAATTTAAAAGTGATATTAGTAAGAAAAAAAGATGTCGGTTTTTCACTAAGGAATGTGGGAAAGTGGTGTGGGAGGGGCTCAAGAGTAACACGTAAGAACAACCGGCAGCAAGGGTTGTTCATTTGAGACAGATCAGGAAGTCCACAGAGAAATGAAGAGGATGTGCTGGAGGGAAAGTTACATACGCACATCACGAAGCGGGAAGACCCATACATTTTTAGATCAACTTTACATCCTTCTTTTAAAAAAAGATGCTAGATGAGAAAGAAATGAAAAGAATATAGTTTAATCTGTAATTAAATTAGGAGTTGCTAGCTAGAAACTATTCCCATAGAAGTTCATAAAATCTTCAGGGTCACTGGAAAAGGTCATTTTGAAAACTGGAAAACAAAGGCTTTTCTCTCTCTGCAGTGACTCTTATTTGGGGCTGAACAGATAGGCAACTGCCGACCACCACTTTGCTCTCACTCTGACCTGAAAACCACTATCCCTTCACGGTGCAACAATGTTCACAACCCAACCAACTTCAGATCCACAGCTCCTTTAACACAGCAAGTCATTTTTGAGAAAATAGTTTGTTTAAAAAAAAAAAAGTAGAAATCTTTCAAGACTGATTTTTTTTTCTCATTGTTGCCAATAGTTTAAGCAAACTGGCTATTAGTGACTTGAAAAGATAATTGTATAGCTACTTCGTTTTTTTTTTTTAATTTCTTTTCTGTCTTCCTTTATTTTTCTATTTGGCAATTCTTAGGCTGTCATCCTCATAGTATTTTAAGTTACAAGGTACCACATATGGGTTTTTTTAAGGGTAGAATATTGTATGACTAATTAAAGAATGATTTCATTTCAAAAAATAATCACTAAACTGAAAGTTACTTCATGAAGAGCAGAAATAACTCAAACTCCAAATATGCCTTCAGGAAGATGAGTGTCTTGTTCCGCCACTGAAGTCACTATCACCTCTGTGAGCAGGAGTGGTTCTGGGTGTGTCGTTTGCAAACAGCTTGCAATGGAGTTACAGAAGCTATGGCAACCTTCCAGTTAACCTGTGTGTTGGCTGTGTGAGCTGAGAGCTGTGAGAGCTGCACTTTCAAACCAGGCGGTGGTGGCGCACGCCTTTACTCCCAGCACTCGGGAGGCAGAGGCAGGGGGATCTCTGAGTTCGAGGCCAGAGAGGTCTACAGAGTGAGATCCAGGACAGCCAGAGCTACACAGAGAAAGACTTTTACTGCAGTCTGACAGAAGAATGTGAAGAGGAATTAGTGAATCACCTCTCCTAGATCCGTGCACTCGGCAGCTGACATGAAGAGGCTGCGGGCACACTGTTGAGAAACAAAGTCAGTCATTCCTAGTCTAATTACTGGCTTGACTGGTTCTTAGGATGCCCAGATCTTCTCTACAGTAACATTTGAATTGGTAGACTAAGTAAGACAGGCTGTCCTCCTTCCAGGGTGAGCAAGCCTCTTGCAAAGCACCAAAGGGTTGGCAGAAACGAATGTCGGTGCAAGAAGGACTCCACTCTCCTGTCTTTGAGCTCCTTCATCTGCTCTCCCTCTCCCTAGCCCTGTGCACTGCAGATCTTAAAACATTTCAGCTTCCACTGTTGAGTGAAGCAATACAATCAAAACAAGTAACCTGTCGGTTCTGGTTCTGGGACAAACTCTGAGCAATAAGCTAATGTATCCAATCAGTCTTCATTTTTGTTTTAAATTACGTCCTAGGGAATGTGAG